TTCAAACGACTTTTATCAAACGTCCGTTTGAAATTTCGTTTTTCAATCGTCCGTTTCAAACGACCGTTTGATTGGTAACAAACAATCGGTTGAACTAACGTCGTTTGCAAACTAGGTTACCAATCTAAGCCTATATGTCTTTGGCTCGGTTCATGTGAAGATTCTTCACGAAGATCAATGGCTCTAAAAAGGAGAGGAAAAATATAATTCGATAAAGGATAGAAATGGAGTGGACAGGTCGAAGAAAATCTTGTCTTCGATAAAGTTTCTGGGAAAAGGTAAAAAAAGAAAGAAAAAAGTTAAACTTGAAACTATTCACCAGCCATGTTCACCTTGATAGATTCAAGACAAAGAAGACAAGTGTCTTTCAAATATGAACCTCTCTCATAAAATTGTCACCTTAATGAAAATGCAAATCATCCCCCATAAGATTTCTTGTTATTCTCTCTGCTCATGATATACAAATTTTATTGAGACTTTCTCTTGAGGTGCTCAACAATGGAGGATCAATCTCTTCACTCTCCGATCAACCCACATTTCTTCCAGCCTCTTCTTCCCGGCTTCCACACTCACCTCGTACGTACTCTCTTCTTCTTCTTTTTCACTGTCCCAAGAAAAGTTTGTCTATAAAAATGTTTAATCTTGTAATTTTGTTGCTGCAGAACATTCCTGTAGCTTTCTTCTCCAAGCACGTCCAAGGAAGAAACGACCGGAACAATACTGCGAAGCTGAGATCAGACGCGTCAAGTAAAACTTGGTTAGTGAAGATGGACGGTTTGAAACTCACCGACGGGTGGAAAGATTTTGCAGTGGCGCATGATCTCAGAGTTGGTGACATGACCGTTTTCAGACATGAAGGAGGATTGGTGTTTCATGTCACAGCTTTGGGACGAAGCTGCTGCGAGATTCAATATACTTCATCATCATCTTTTCACAACACCAATGATGACACTCATCATCAGACCAACAATATTGGTAAACTTTAATTAGTTCTATGAAACGTACTACTAAGCTGCTGCGAGATTCTGATGCAATATTGAGATTTTTTGTTGTTACAGGAAACAGTTC